TCCGGTCTGGAACGGTTTCTTTTTCTGATGACGTAGGTTTCACAACTTGGGTGGGGAAACGCTTAACCACTCCCCTCAAACCGTTAGTTTGCTATGAGCGAGAGATGGAGAGGAGGAGCGCTAGAGTAAAACCCTGCCCTCTGTTCAATATTCCGTTTCACTTGGAAATACGTCACAGCACTGGAGAAAAATCGTTTGCAACTTCCGGTTCACGGGGACTTTAAGCGCACATGCTTGGCCATAATACAGAGTGTGAATAACATGCATTTACTGTAGATGATTCTCTCATCTACACAGATGCATTTCACTTTTTGCAAATGATACATTATTATAAGGAAAAATATATAAACATGAGGGAAATCACTGTTGTGTCCATGACGATGGGAAAAATAGGCATAAAGCTTACACATTTACTCAAGTTATTATATGCATGTTTAACCAAAGCTAGTTTGGGTGGGTTTGTCCCATCCCCATGTCACTTCTCTTTCTTTTAAGGCCCTGACAAGATCATCGAGAACATTTTTCAAGAGAACATTATGCGCCGTTATAATAGTATTGCGCCATAGAACAAGGACACCTCGTTCATCACGCTCTTAAAGGGAATGTGATATGACGCTGTTATTGGTTTGTTTCTGTTACACCCAAACCACACCTATGAATAATGAGGCTACTTCAGACCAACCCCTTTTAAACTTAGAGTAACTAAGTAAACTAAGAGTAATTTATCCCGCCGGTAAAATAGCAACGGCCCGCCCACAAAGTTACTTGGGCTTGCCACTTGCGTTTCAAATCGTTAAAATAGGGGGCCATACCTGTTTCTCTGTCCTCTGCGCTGCAGCTGATACAGTGTCGTGGTTTTTATGTTCATCCATCACACACAGCACACATATACACTTCTGATCAGTGCGGCAGAAAACCTCCAGGAGTTTATCATGTGTTTGGCAGATCATCTCCTGCAGTCGTCCAGTGGCTTCAGTCAGATTGTGTCTCTTTCCTTTAAAGAAACTCTCATGTTGTTCAAGGTGACTCTGACAGTAAGAGTTCAGACACACCAGACAGGACTTGACGGCTTTGTGTTTTCTTCCAGTACAGACGTCACACTGCACATCTCCAGCTCCAGCGTAACACTCAGCAGGAAGTGTAGTCTTCTTTAGTTTCTCCACCACTTCAGCCAGCATGGTGTTTTTAGCTAAAGCAGGTCTTGAACTGAAGGTCTGTCTGCACTGAGGGCAGCTGTAGACTCTCTTCTCATCCTCCTGATCCCAGCAGTCTGTAATACAGATCTTACAGTAACTGTGTCCACAGGGAATGGCCACTGGATCCTTCAGGAGATCCAGACACACTGAACACAGGAATTCATCCCGAGAAAACTTGGCTTCTGCCATTTTACTGCATGAATACAGAGACACAAACACACAACAGCTCAACTACAGTTCAGTTTCTCTTTCCCTGAACTGAAACTGTTTCTTGTTTCCTGGTTCTGTGTTTGAGTGTCGTGTGCAAAACAGGCGTGTCTGTAAAGAGCTTCCTCATTCCTGGTCCCACACACATTGTGTTTAATCAGTCTCAGACACACACTCAAAGAATAAAAGTTACAGGGAAGCCAGACAACACCCTTAATAGTACAGTAAGTCTGTTTCATAAATACTTCACTGGTACCGCAGGACTGAAAACTGTGTCCAGTTCCTCATACACCTATCTCACAATTCAATACTATCATGATATTTGGGTGCCGATACAATATCTATTGTGATTTTTAAGAATTGCGATTCTACAAGTACAAGCGACAAGGTTGGGATAAAATTTTACATCCGTACAGCAGTTGTACTTCATTTAGCATTGTATATGTGATACTATTGTGTACCTCACACTCACTTAATACTGCTTGTCCAACATCATTTAATGTGGTGTTTGTCATGTCCTGGACTGTCAGACCCTTTTGAAATTGCTGGTCCAGAAGTTTCCAGTTTGTCCCAGTTTTTTTGGTTTTGAATTATGATCCTCACCATAAACACGTGTGTTGATGATGCCATGTTATTTAGAAAATAGTTGTTTTTCCGCAGACTTATATACAATATACAATATATTGCGATTGTTCTTTTATTATTTTTTTAATACTAGACCATGGAGAACAGTTGAATCATACACTAATACAGACTGTACATGATGTATAAGATGAGTCATATTTACAAAAACAATTCATCACATGGCAGCAAGTCTGTTGTCAATGGTAATGGTTTAGCGAAGTTATTTTCTCAGCGCTAGTATTTGTGTGGTCATGTGATCTCAACATGTAGATGATCGTAGGGGAATTTCTACCATAACATTCATATGACATTCCTTTCAAAATATCATTCATTTCTGTAGAGCTGGACATTTTATTAAGGATCAAATGACTGAGTTCAGCTTTGAGAATAAAACCATCGTGTTGTTCCTCAGTTTATTATAACATATTTTACCCGTCTTGTTTGTGGACTTTTAAGTTTCTGTCTCTGCCTCTTTTCCATAGTCAGTTTGTGGGTTTCTTGTCAAATAGTTCTGTGATTGTTTCCAGGTGTGTCTTGTTAGCCTGTTACCCTCTGTGTATATCTACACCTGTGTTCAGTGCTGTTATTGTCCTTCCATGGATGTATGTGTGGAAGTCTTTCAGTTCTGGTTTCCTTGGTTTTACTTTGGATTCGAAATCCTTTTTGTTTTGTATTTTGTTTATTAGTAAATCTCCACTTTTTCTCTCCTCGTTTTCTGAGTTCACCTCTTCTATCTTCTTGTTTCACTCTGAATGTTTCTTCAATCTTAATGTCTTCACTCGCCTCTTTAATAATCGCCATCTTTATAACATTCTCACATGGATCAGTCGCTTCACTGGGAGCTTCACTTTGGACACTGTCATGTTTAAAATGAGAATAATTCACAGAAAGAAAAGTAAATCCAGTCCATGGGTGCATCTCAAGGTAAGTCTTCAGGCTTGATAGTCGGTGGATCTACAGTATGAAATGCCATCATTGTACACATGAATCTTCTTTGCCAATTCCAGATGAAACTGTGCCAAGTGGAGTGATTGACCCTGATAAAGAGGATGTGAAGTATTACAAGAAAATCATCATCCGTTGGTGAAGTCTCCAAGAAATATCTCGTTTCTGGACGTGCCAGCCTTGGTAATGCACTCACTCAACTAAGAAGAGAACTTCACAAAGCTTGTATTTCATAATTTGGTCATTTATGTTTGTTTTATGCCTTGATGAAGGTGGAAACTATGGGAAAGATGACCAGTTCATCAGGAAATTGGGCCTTAAATGTTATACTGTTAAATTATTTTTATGAAGGTTTCTATGATTGTATTAAGATTTTAATGGCATTTTAAATGTGTTTTACTGTAATAAATACAATTATGCATTATAATTTCATCTTAAACAAATAAAATGGTATATGAACAGGATTCAATGGTTCTTTGTGTGATTTCATAATAAAAGTATACAAAATGTGTAGCAATTGAACCTGTTTAATAAAATCCTATATTAACACTTTAAACAATTACTCAGCGATGCATAGTTGTGTTAATGCAAACAAAGGGTCACATTGACGCAATTACTAAAGCAAGACGCACATTGTGTTATTTTCCGCACATGTTTTCAGTATCTAGTGTCCTTTTGGAGTGCTGTGCCAAATAACAGGGTTTGGAAAAGGGGCAAAAGTCAAGAAACAAAACTAATGTTTGAAACCAGTACGGCCACTTCGTGACGTAACCCGACTGGAAGAGAAAGGCTAAAAGGGAAAGCACTTCTTTTAATTTGTCTGGTTGAACTGATGGGTTTAAAACCCACCATCACTTTCCACCACTGGATGTTGCTAGTGTTTTGCCATGTATTAGTTAACTAGTTGACCTTTCACATTGGCTTCCCACAGTAAGTTGATGATAGTGCTATGTCTATGACATGTACAGACTAGGTCTTCTTCTGCCACGGGTGCTAATGATTCTGAGACAAATTAATTTGCAGCCTTTGACCACTAAGTGATGATTTAAGGCCTCGATAAACTCACGGTGAAGCTTTTTTTATCTCTTCTCTTAGGCCTGTTTCACACATACGTAACATTTTCCCCATGTTAACAGGTTAGAGCTTTCACACTGCTCACGGATGCGGTCCATCAATGCGTTCCAGGTGATGAATTAAAGTGGCAGCGCATTAAAATAAACAGATTGACAAGAAACCAAAAATTTCATCATATACACATAATTACAGCTAATGTGTTCTACAGTAACTTAATGACAGGGTCCAGAAATAAAAAAAAAAGTACATTTACATGGAAACCCTGTTTTTATCACAGAAAATTATTATTTCTAAAATTCGGGCCAAAATGGAGATTTCTGACAATGCCGGTTATGTGTTGCCATGTTAACTGGGAGAAAATGCTATCAACACAACCATATTATATAAAATAATATCAAATCAAAATCAAATCCCTTTATTGTCACACAACTATATACACAAGAGCAACAGTGGGTGGGTTCCGACAACATAGCTGTCATGACACGATGGGACGTATAACAATTTACAGCAAACATCAGATTTACACAATTTACATAGATTTACACATATAATGTGCGCACAATTACTCACAGTATCATTAACACTAACAAAACAATAAATAATATTCACTACAATGTACAATACGTTATGTTGTGCTGTGTCGTTAATAATAACAATTAAAAAAAAACAGATAATGTATCCATATATAATCAGAGGATTTTAATCATTTTGAGATGGTTTCTGCTCCCAGACTTACAAGTTTTGCCTTTTTGAAAGAATCTCAAACTCTTTCATTAGTAGTTTTAAACATTTTCAATATATAATTTGACAATATGTATTTCACCTGGAAACCAAATCTGAACTCCTCTAGCATCTATTTAAAAATGCTTTTGTGATTTTAGACAGGAGCAGCGTGTGAACGGGACTTTTATTTTGGTCTGTCGGTGTGACGTCATAAACCTGCGTCGACCTGCCTGTCGAGTGTCGAGCTCATGCGTCTGTTGTGATTCGGCTGAAGGAATGTTAGTGGTGTAATGCATTATCAATGTTTACATCCGTGCAACCAGTTCAGGCAAAATTGGCGCATGAAAAGACAAGTCTCACGTCGCTCCCTATCTCGTGAATAGGTTTATCATCAACGCAAATTCAGCCACTGGTGAGTAACTTACTGATGGAGAAACAGATTATTATGAAACTTATTAAAAAAAAACCAACAAATATAAAATGATTAAGTGAATCGAAGCGCACTTGCGAACAAACTACACAAACATACTGTGTAAATGATAGCGTTTACACATCAATAGCTAAATGTTTTCTTGGAAATGTAAAACATCAATTCCTAATTAAGTGTCTGTATAGTTTGAGTCCTTTTATTAGTTTTTTTTTTAAGTGTTAGTTCTGAGTGTTTTTAGTCTAATTATGTCATTTTTATGTCCGTTAACCATGGAGCTTATACTATGACCATTCTATTTGAATTGTGTACTTTTTATTATAGACGAGTGTTATTGTAGAAAGTTGAATACTTTGTGGTATTTTACACAGTTACACACATTTGAAATTTATAACAATTTACATGTTTTTATGGCAGAATTTTATGTTGGTTCTGAAATCATAGATTGCAAATATTTTGCTTTTAAGAATACAGTTTCAAGATAAAATAAGCTGAAATTTGCTTAAACAATGATGATTGTAATTTGTTCTCAGCACGTAAAACATTTGTCTAAGCAGTGTTTGTTTTAAAGTATACTTGATGTGAAAGTGATTAGCATGCCACCGTTTTATTCAGCTGTTATCGAGTGTGTTCTGTGCACTTCTATAACTGTATGGTTTGGGTCAGCCAGTAAATCTGATTTGAGACTGGAACAGGCTGTGTTTAGATAGGCTAGTTAAGCCGTTTGGATGTCTTTCTGTATTCTCCTCTTAAACAGCACAAACTCCCAGTGAAGCGACTGAGATCCACACGACGCTAAAGATGGCGTTTATTAAAGAGGAGAGTGAAGACATAATGAGGGTGATTATAAAAGAAGAGAGTGAAGACTTCAATATAGTCATTGTGAAAGAAGAAGACACTGAGGAACACACAGGTTGGTTTCATTCTCAAATTTGAACTTAGTCATTTGATGGAGCAATGGATCTAAACACTGGCCTTTTTAAAGGACTAGTTCACTTTAAAAAAAAAAAAAAAAAACTTTTGCTGATAATTTACTTACCCCCATGTCATCCAATATGTCCGTGTCATTCTTTCTTCAGTCGAAAAGAAATGAAGGTTTTTGATGAAAACATTCCAGGATTTTTCTCCATATAATGGACTTTAATGGGGTCCAGATGGTTCAAGGTCTAAATGTGAGTTTCAGTGCAGCTTCAAAGGGCTTTAAACGATTCCAAATGATGAATAAGGGTCTTATCTAGCGAAACGAGCAAAACGCTAGATAAGACCCTTATTCATCGTCTGGTGACATTTAAAGCCCTTTGAAGCTGCACTGAAACTCTCATTTAGACCTTGAACCATCTGGACCCCATTAAAAACATCAAAAACCTTAATTTCTTTTTGACTGAAGAAAGAAAGACATGGAAATCTTAGATGACATGGGGGTGAGTAAATTATCAGCAAACATTTTACTCCTTTAAGGTTAAAAAGGGCTAACAAAAACAATGATCAGTGAGCATTTGAGAACAGGAGTGAAACTAGGGGACTTAAATACATGGGGAACTCAAGTATTATTGCAGAGTGAAGAGACGATTCTTATATTTTAGATCTGAATGGCAGGATTGGTCTATAAAATGCAGTTTTGTTTTTATGTTTTAATACTTTTATCTTGATTTTGATATGTTACTTTGAGCCATTAAACTGGCATTAACTTGTATTTGTCTTTTGTTGCTTTAGATCTGATGGCACTTAAAGAGGAGAATCCAGAACTGAAAGAAATAGAAGAGAGTGATCAGTATAAGATAAATGAAATGACTTCATCACGAAAAAAAGTTCAGAAGAACGAATCTAACAGTAACTTCATCTGTCCTCATTGTGGAAAGAGTTTCAGTCAGAAAACATACCTTGATGTCCACATGAGAGTTCACACTGGAGAGAGGCCGTTCACCTGCCGACAGTGTGGAAAGAGTTTCACTCAAAAAGGAAACCTTAATTCCCACATGAGAATTCACACTAGAGAAATGTTCTCATGTGATTGGCGTGGAAATAATTTCCTATGTAATGAAACTCTTAATTCATACACACAGAGAAAACACTCTGGTAAGAACTGTAGTTTTAGTTTCAGATTTAAATCAATCTGTGATTCACACCGGTGAGAGTCCTTAAACCTGCAAACGGTGGGATCCACAGTAGTAACTCGCTACTGTAAAGTCAAGTTACATGACCGGGGGATGTTTATTTCATGCACTGTGTGCAGATATCATTATTAATGAAAATCACCAATTAGTTTTATTGTTTATCCATCATTTTCAGTTTTTTTACCGATGTTATGAGTTGATTGATACAGCCGCAAAATGGAAGAAGGAAAGAAAACTGATGGATAAGCAACACTACACGCCGCACTTAAACTGCAAGGTTAAAAAGAGACATTCCCAACAATCAATTCAAAATAATAATACAATACCACAGAGTAGAAAGTTAAAGGCTCACTATGCAGGAATTATGTTTGTCAAACAGCGACCACTGTGTTTAAAGGCCAATTTATACTTCTGCGTAGGGTGCGCGCAGTAGGTACGGCGTAGCATACGCACAGACGCGTCCCATACCGCGTACCCTTCGCCGTCGCCTGACATGCACCTCTTCAAAAATGTAACTACACGTCGCGACGACGCGGACCGCAAGATCGGTGATTGGTCGGCTTGGTAGCATCGCATTTCCTCCTACGCATTTCCGCACGTACCTTCTCACGCATTTCCACCACTGTCTATGATTTCCACACGTACCATCTCCTCCGACGTCTTCTCTCATTTCTGCCTTTCAGTTTTAGTCATTTCACTAAAGTGAACTGTTTTTCCACCTTAATAAGCTCCAACTCCAACATGATCAGCTCTCTTTAGCCGTGAGGAATCCCAGTGGAACATTGAAACCCTCCTCCGCCAACTAGCGTTTCGGAGCAGTACTGCAGAGCAACCAAGACCTGAACGCAGAAGTATAAATGCTCACAACGGCGTCGCCTACGTGCGTAGCCAACGCCGTACACTACGGCGTACCCTCGACGAAGATGTATAAATTGGCCTTAACGTTACTGTCGTAAATACCACTCGCGCAGAGCGTCTCTGGACTCACGGCCTGATACTCCTCTAAAGCGGTTATATCAAGGTACAAATCTTGCATAGTGTGCCTTGAAATAAGAGATCTAGGGGGTGTATATGTGTAGGCCTGCTATGATGTTAGACTACATAATCTATAATAAAACAAAATGGATTTCAAGCCTGAAACAATTTTTTTTTTCAAAGATCAACAATCTGACACTAAAAAACGGCGTGTTGTGGTTCCGGTACACCAGCCATGTCAACGAAACGAATGAATAAAAATTGGCTTATCAATGTATATCTAAATTCACGCCTACATCTTTGTAGAACAGCCAATGAGCCGCCGGCGGGGGCCGACTCAACCTCCACAGACAGTTTTTCATAATGTTTTTGCTTTAGTATAATTTTCTGGGCCGGATTCGGGACAACAGCTTAGATTTCGGTACGTCTGGTCCCCCTGTGTGTAGCGCAGTCTCCACTCGGACGCGCTCTTCAATCTGTCGCCGCTGCGGACTCTCTCTATTCATTCCGGTGAAATCACAAATTAAAATGCACACAAACTTAGAAATATTTACTTACTAGTCCATCAACAAGATTACCAGGTCAGCATCAGGACTCTTGTCTGGTTCCTCATGCGGTCAGATTATCTTTTACTTTTCCTAGTCTCTTCCGACCGCATTTTCTTTGCTTTTTCCATCGTCGTGTACCACGCCTGAACTGCGCGATAGTGTCTTAATGCCTCAAATTTTGTTGTTGTTGTTGATGTCTGTGACGTTATTGCCATAAAGCATGTTGTGATTCTCGCTAGATTTGTCGGGGGCACTCCTCTCAAACTTGCATTGCTGGTCATCCCCCCCAAGCTTTACTACCAGGGTGATTCGCCCTACTATGAGTTTGTTTACCACCGAAATTACTTTGAAGCTGTTATATTAAGGTACAATTCTTGCATAGTGTGCTTTTAAGCAGTTATGTTCAACAACAAGAATAAGCTAGGCTGGGACCATAACAATAAATAATTCGTTTCTGGACGTAACACAAGCTATTAGCACTAGACGAAACATGCACTCATGGTTAGATGCCAAAAGCAGGTCATCTATGACTTTAATAAATGGAGCTTTAATCCTGACTGAAATTGTTGAATTGTTCAATTAACTGAAATCTGAATGGCAGATTCGGGATTGGTATACAACAATCCACAATTTTGGTTTTGATGTTTTAAGACTTTTAACTTGGTTTTGATGTCTGTTGCTTTGAGTCATTAAACTCATGTTAACTTGTATTTGTCTTTTTTTTTTGCTTTAGACTTGATGTCACTGATAAAAGGGAATCAAGAAAAACATGAAATAGAAGAAAAAGATCAATATCAGGGACATGATTTCATTGATGTAGAAAAATCCATACAGACTGAAACAACTTCATCACGAACAATAGTTCAGAAGACCAAATCTAACCGTACATTCACCTGCCCTTATTGTGGAAAGAGTTTCAAACTCAAATATGACTGTTTCACCCACATGAGAGTTCACACTGGAGAAAAGCCGTTCACATGTGATCAGTGTGGAAAGAGTTTCAGTCAGAGAGCAAATATTAATGCCCACATGAGGATTCACACCGGAGAGAAGCCGTTCACATGTGATCAGTGTGGAGAGAGTTTTAAATATAAATTGACCCTTAATACCCACACAAAGAGGAAACACTCAAGTAAGAACTGTTTTATATGTTATCAGTGTGGAAATAGTTTCAGACATTAATCAACCACTTATTTACACATGAAAAGTCACAAAGTTGAGAGTCCTCGCACCTGCAAACAGTGTGGGATCCACAGAAATGTATGACTGGGGGATGTTTATTCAATGCACTGCACACAGACATGATTTATAAACAATAATTCAATGATGATTATTTTCATTATCAATCATGTCTTTTGTCAATATTTTCAGTTAGGTGACATAGCTGCAAAATCATCTATAAAATACACTGTAAAAATGAATATGCTTTATCTAATCAATAAAATTGTGGCAACAGATTACAAGCAATATTATTTATTAAATTGAACAAATTAGAATTGAGTAATAGTTAATTCATTTGATATTCTAATTAATTCTAATTTGTACAATTTAATTAATAATATTGCTTGTAATATGTTGCCACAATTTTATTGATTAGATAAGCATATTATTTTTTTCAGTGTATGCTAACTTGGACAGATTCATCATGCAAGGAAATGAAAAACCGAGTTTAATTGTAAAAATAAAGTGAACTTTTATGATAATATCCCTCAGGAACAGCATTCATTAGAAGAAAAGCAGAGGACCTAATACTGAGCCCTGTTGCACTCCTTACTTGTGTTTGAAGAAAACAATTTTGTATACACAAAAATCAGGAGTTGGATAGATTTGACCTAAACCATGCTAATGCTTATCCACAAGGGAAAACAAAATTTTAAAGATATCAATAATAATATTGTGATCTGTGTTGTCAAAAGAGCACTGATAGCACTAGAAGAAAGATGTGCTTATGATTCGAAGCCAAAAGCAGGTCATTTGTCACTTTAATAAGCGATTGTGCTTTAATCCTGACTCAAATTGTTTACAAGTACTATTGCATTGTGAAGAGGACTCTATTTTTCATAGCAGATTCAGGATTGGTTTATACTAACCCAATTTTTGTTGCACTATGTTGGTTTTGATATTATAATACATTTATCTTGGTTTTGATATCTGTTGTTTTGAGCCACTAAACTGCCATTAACTTGTATTTGTCTTTTTTCGCTTTAGACCCAATGGCACTGGATGAAGAGAATCCAGAAATTAATGAAATGGAAGAGAAAGATCAAAATGAGAGACATAATTTCATGGATATAGAAAAGTCCATACAGACTGAAACAACTTCATCACAGACAGAAGTTCAGAAGACCAAATCTGACCGTAAATTCCCCTGTCCTCATTGTGGAAAGTGTTTCACTCGAAGACATAACCTTATATACCACATAAGAATTCACACCGGAGAGAAGCCTTTCGTATGTCATCAGTGTGGAGAGAGTTTCAGACTTCAATCAATCTGTGATATACACGTGAAAAGTCACACAGGTGAGTCCTCACACCTGCAAACTGTGGGATCCACGGAAATGTATTATTCACTACTGTTAAAGTTACGTGACTGGGGGATGTTTATTCCATGCACTGTGTGCAGACATTAGTGGTGGAATGGTACATGTATTCGCATTTAACCGAAACGGTACGGTACGGTTCGTGCATGCATTGCCATTTACTCGGAGAATACACCGTATAAAAATAAATAAAACTTGTGTGCAAATTGATTAATGTAATATGGAGCTACTATTAGATACGCAGGTTCTTTAGGGATACATAAACTGTAGTCCCGCTTTAGGCGAGCTTCGCATATATGCAGTTTTTGTCAGGTCGACACGACGCTCCAGTGAGTGAGTCGGATATAGCAGCACTAAGGACGAGTATGGCGAGTGTTGGCGACCCACAAGAGTTAGAGGACCCGCCGGCCTCTTTAAAGGGTTAGTTCACCCAAAAATGAAAATTAAGTCATTAATTACTCACCCCCATGCTGTACCAACCCTGTAAGACCTTCGTTCGTCTTCGGAACACAAATGAAGATATTTTTGATTAAATTTGAGAGCTGTATAACTACCACATTGGCTCCTAAGGGACTGCCTCTTGACGGCCCAAAAAGTCAATGAAGAAAATGTTTAAATATCCCAAGTGACTACCGTGGCTCAACTATATGTTTATCAAGCGACGCGAATACTTTTTGTGCGAAAAAACAAACAAAAATAACGAGTTTATTCGACTATTTTTTTCTTCCTTGTAGGCCAGAACGAGACTTCCTTATAGATTTCCACGACGCATGCGCGAGAATTGCGATCTGAAGTGGTGTAAGCTGGTGTACGCAGATCGCAAATCTCGTGCATGCGTCGTGGAAATCTATAAGGAAGTCTCGTTCTGGCCTACAAGGAAGAAAAAAATAGTCGAATAAACTCGTTATTTTTGTTTGTTTTTTCGCACAAAAAGTATTCGCGTCGCTTGATAAACATATAGTTGAGCCACGGTAGTCACTTGGGATATTTAAACATTTTCTTCATTGACTTTCTGGGCCGTCAAGAGGCAGTCCCTTAGGAGCCAATGTGGTAGTTATACAGCTCTCAAATTTAATCAAAAATATCTTCATTTGTGTTCCGAAGACGAACGAAGGTCTTACGGGGTTGGTACAGCATGGGGGTGAGTAATTAATGACTTAATTTTCATTTTTGGGTGAACTAACCCTTTAAGATCGCAAGTTTGGGAAAACATCAGTTTCCCAGTCAGTTACAATTAATTAAACCAACAAGCTTAAATATTAGGTTACTCACTTGTGCACACACTCTCTCTCTAATACTTTATTTCACTCCAGAATTCTAGAAATGAACGGTAGGTTCATATATATATATATGTATGTATATGTATATGTATTTTCCGTTTGACCAGCAAAACATGAGTCGTAATCACAGCTTATCTATTTATCTAACCCATTTAAAAACAGTATGTGTGTGCCATCTTTTGGACATTAGTGTTCATTTAAAATTTTAAGGAAAACAAGTATATTGATCTGAAATATAACAAACTAATTTATTATAAATTAATAGCATGTATAATAGCAATAACATTATTGTATTTAATTACATGAATTACACAAATGTAGTAATAAAATTGCACTCTGCATTTTTGTTTTGCTTTTCCCTCCATTGTACCGAACTCGTACCGAACCGAGGTTTGAACTGAACCGTGACTTTTGTGTACCGTTACACCCCTACTAGACATGATTAATAAAATAAAACATTCATAGGTGATTATTTTCATTATGAATTATTTGATTTTTGTCTTTTATCTTGCAAAATCAACTTGGATAGCTGTGCAGTTTCATCACGTTGTGAGGAAATGTAAAACAGTATCATTGAAAAAACATGGTGAACTCTAATGATAATGTCCCTCAGGGACAGCCTATATTAGGAAAAAAGCAGAGGACCTAATACTGAGCCCTGTTGCACTCCATACTTGTGTTTGATGAAACGTCTATTTGTTTACACAACGTATTAGCAGTCGAATAGATTTGATCTAAACCATGCTGATGCTTATCCACAAATAACAACATACCTATCCAAAATTAATAATGTTGTTTTTATTCTAGTGCTATTATCTCTTTTGACAACATAGATGCACTCATGATTAGATATCAAAAGCAGGTCATGTATGAATTTAATCAATTATGGTGGTTTAATCCTGACTGAAATTGTTCAGAAGTACCATAGCACAGTGAAGAGGACTCTATTTTTTGAATATTTTAGATCTAAATGGCAGATTCAGGATTGGTCTATAACAATGCACTTTTTTGTGCAAAATGTTTTAATACTTCTTTCTTTGTTTTGATGTCTTTAAACCATTAAACTGCTGTTAACTTTTTTATGTTTTTATTTTTTTTATTTTATTTTTTGCTTTAGAACAGAAAGACTTCATTTGTCAGCAGTGTGGAAAAGGCTTCATTCACAAGGGAAACCTTAATTGCCACATGAGAGTTCACACTGGAGAGAAGCCGTTCACATGTGATCAGTGTGGAAGGAGCTTCAAAAGGAAAATAACCCTTAATATCCACATTAAGAGAAAACATTCAGAAGAGAACTCAGTAAAACTCTCATACGAGCACTGCAGTGAAACCTTTCACCTGCAAACAGTGAGGGAAGAGCTTCAAATATGAAGCACTTTTTGATTCCCACGTGAGAAGTCACACTGGAGAGAAGCTTTTTACCTGAAAACTCTGTGGGACTTGGTTTGCGCACAAAGGAAGTCTTAAGTCACACATGACAATTCCCACTGGAGAGAAGCCATTCATATGTGTTCAGTGTGGAAAGAGTATCAGCTTTAAGTCACAGTGGTAACAGTCTTTACACCTGCAAACAATGTGGGAAGAGCTTCTCATTGAAAAGAACGTTTGATGCCCAAGGAGAGTTCACACTGGCGAGAGTCCTTACATCTACAAACTGTGTGTGAAGAGCTTCTCACAAAATGAAAATCTCACGGCTCACATGAAAACTCATACTGGAGAGAAGCCATTCATGTACCTTGAATGTGGTAAATGTTTGACACATGCAATAAGCCTTACTTTGCCACTCAAGGCTTCACTCAAGAGAGAACGCTTTCAATTATCATCAGTGTGGAAAGATTTTCAGTCAGAAAACGTCACTTGAGGTTCACATGAGACTTCTTCACACTGGAGAGAAACCTTTGACGTGTAGAAAAGTTTCACATATAAAAGAGACCTGAAACGTCATTTGCAGGCACGTTGTGGAAAGACGTGGGAGTGAAATAAGCTTAGAAAAAGCAGCCATTTCAAAAATGCTCAGCGCATTCAATCTGGAGAAAGGCAATTTAAACGTGATCCATGTAATAATGGATCCATGTAATAATAACTTTCTTTTGCCATCATACTTACAGATTCACCTGAATAGCCATGCAGATGTGAGACCACATTTGTGTTCTTTGTGTGGAAAGAGATTTAAAAGGCTCACCGGTTTAAAATGGCACCAGAAAATTTGTATCTGTATGAAACTATATTTACCAAGTATGGTGTTTGTATAATTTTTATTAAACACTTTTTTGTCTCATCGATATGAACTCCTATGGTTGCGCCTGACCATCCGCTTTACTTTAGTTCAAATACGCCTTATTCACGGCAGCGCCATCTTTGATTTTTAATGAGAATGAAAGCGAGGCTGTGAGGGATAGACTTGCATCTCTTCAATGGGCTGTGCTGTTATTTAATGTGTTTTCGGATTGTTCTGCTCATGAAACACTGGAAAAATATCTTTCCAAGAAATGTCAGTTGACAAAAAACTCCAGACAATGTAAGCTGTGGATAATTGTAAGTAATCTAACCGCTTTATTCAGCTTTTTACAGCGGATGCCATTGGAAACACAGTGAGTCCATCCCTCACAGCCTCACTTTCATACCTGTCATGGCGCTGCTCTGAATAAGGTCTATAGAGTCATTATCTAGCTCAATTCAGTTCAAGCTTTTGTTCTCATTTGAAAGTGTCAGTGCAATATACTTGATTTCAGTGAGTTCATGCGTGGTTTGTATACATCATTTAGACACCTCTGACAACTGATTACTCTATCTTGAAATGTAGACTTATACATTTTCTGTGAAGCTGCTTTGAAACTGTATTCATTGTGAAAAGCTCTATACAAATAAATGTAAATATGAATTGAATAGATAATCTCTGAATATTGTCTTTTAAATTCCAACTAAGTAGGACAAAGGCGACAAAGGCAAGGAACACACACTCTGTAGCTGTGTCCCAATGTGAAGGATCCTCCGTAGGCCTATTTGAAGGCCGATTGCGTCACAGCCGCGTGACGAAGGCTGTCCCAATTCAAAGGCTGCACCCTCCGAAGGGGCGCATTTGAAGGCCGATTGCGTCACCGCAGTGTGATGAAGGCTGTCCCAATTCAGTTTTGCATCCTTCGAAGGCTGGTTGCATCATCGCGGCGCGACGAAGGCTACCCTGATTCAAATGCGACGGCCAAATGCACCCTTCATTTCGCCGAGCAAGAGAGGATACATAAATGGGCCGTTTCTCAAAACCAAGAATGTAAAGAACGGACTTGTGTTCTTGGGAAGAAAGCTCTTGCTAGTTGTTCTTGAAAGAACGAACTCACGAGGTGACGAGCACACAGAACGCTGCTGACAGTTTGAGACGATGTGTTCTTGCTGGTATTGCACAATAGTAACGTTACCCCCGCACAGACGCCGTCTGCAGTGCCCAAACATAACGAGAATTATTATAAAGCCAGGCTTTATCGCCCAAGCCTAAGGGATTACTCTACATACACTACAATGTAATGTATATTCAGAACAATAAAGTAACACCTGTCTCATTTTAATTCTGCTTCTGTTGTTTGTTTGTGTACATCACTAGCCAACGGCGGGAAAAAACGCCGGTAATATTCAGGTAACTTTTGACCTGCCTCTCTCTGCTTCCCGCGGCTTCCGCGAATGCCAAAATGAATTATGGGATATTTCTGCCATCAAGTTTACACAAGTTACCAACCGATGCATCCTTGGTAACATGGGAGTGTCAAGAACACATCTGGGATTTTCAACCGTTCTTTCCTAAATGTAAACTTGTGTATTTGGACAGTACTTGGGCCGCGACTGATGACGTTTGACAAGTCCACAAGAACACAAGTACAGACAAGAAGGCATATTGAGAAACGGCCATGGATCCTACCCGATCCTACACGGCCTATCCTACCCGATAAGTCATTGCGCTGCTGACGACAGCGTTTTTTTTTTTTTTTAAGCAGCCGAGAGTCCGGTGGTGGACGGCAAATTCACATTTAAACGTAAAAGTATTGTTTTCATTAATCAAATAGCCAGAGAAACCAGTGTTAACAGCCAAAAGTTTTTTCTTCTTCTTTTTCATCAACTCATTCGTCACCATTGTGTGGCTTTATTTGTCTTGTGGAAACGCAAAAACGGAAAAAAAAAAAAAAAATCATTTATGTACATTTATTATTTCAGAATGTATTATTTTATGCAACTTTAAATGTGTTAAATAAAATAATTCATGGCTCTGGACGTTGTTTATTTTTGTAATGGCAGAGTGTTTGCAAGGTTGATACATTTAAACTATAGGATTGCCTACTTTAGTGTAGTTTAATGTAAAACAATGCGTAGCAGTGTTGCTGTCCGTGAGGGGAAAAAGTAGGCTACTTCACATTTAAGTGAATAGTCTATAAAGTAGGCTGTTAAGTTCATTCCCCCACTGGTTATTTTGAAAATTAAAGGAACAAAATGTTGGTCTATTGTCACAATATTAACGAATTGTTGTTAACTACAGCTGCGTCCCCCCATAAGTGCGCATCTGAAGCGCTCGGACCGGTCCACGGAGAACTGTTCTTTCTCGTCACCAACTGTGACTGACAGCTGCCGATGACGAGCGGAGTGACGTTACCTTGCACTGGACTTTTTATATTCAACTTGTTTTAAATATTCAAATAGGGTTGAAAACCTGTATAAATATAATTACCATGGTCCATTTCTGTACACAATAAAAAGCAATAGCCTATGAAATCACATCAAGGTAGCCTGTGAATTACACTGTGCAAACCACAGTAATACTATCCACCAGATGAAGAAGGGTTGGCTCTCAGTCTCCACAGTAAATAAAATATTAATTTTGTATTATATATATATTGCGATATTGTCATTTTTTGTTTGTTTTATATTTTACTGGAGGACATGAGAGAGCAGGGCCCTGCTCCCATGTCCTCCAGTAAAATATATATATATATATATAAATGACAATATAGCCAATTCTGTCCCCATAGCTGTTTACTCAATTTTATTAAATGAATGATCAGGGTGGCTGTTGGCTGTCTCGCACTGTTATTTGGCTCCAGGAGCGGTAATCGGGAACAACTGGTTGCGCAATTAGGAAATCCCACGAAGCCTATGCTACATGCTGCATCCTTCGCAGTCCGCGGCCTTTTTTTTTTTCTTATTTATCTTAACTCATTTACCATTGCGTGCTTCATTTGTCATGTCGAAACGCGAAATCGACATTATAGCCTACATTGTAGCTACATTATTTCTTAATGCAACTTTAAATGTGTACATAAAAGAGAATTCATGGCTCTGGATATTTGATTATTTTTGTAAGGAGTCTCTGAGTGTTTGTAAGGTTGATACATTTAAACGATATACTTTTGTGTAGTTTAAAGTAAAATGTTGTCCTGTGAGGGAAAAAGTAGGCTAGGCCTACTTCACATTTGTACATGAATACGAACGCAGTGAAGTTCCTTACATTCCTCCACTGGTTATATTAAAAATTAAAGTAACAAAATGTTGGTCCATTGTCACAATATGAACAAACAATATTACAACTTCGTCCCATATCAAAGTGCACACCTGAAGCGCTCTGACCGGTCTAGCCTGCGGAGGATTGTTCTTGTCGCCTAGCAACTGTGACTGACAGCTGAAGACGACGAGCGGGAGTAACGACGTTTTCGTAACGACACCCCTCAGACATCGGGATGTAGTGGGGCATGGTCAACAGGGTAGCGGAGGCTTTGGGTTAGGAACAACAACACCCACATGGGAAAAGCCTACTCCAACCGAACACGAAGCCAGGAGGTAGTTGCGTGCTGCACCGTCCTTCACAATCTCGCTATTCTCAACAGGGACATAGTTGAAGATTAGGAACACCATGACGACGGCCCCCCTGAACCCCACAAATGGGAGAAGATGAGCGGGACAATCTGGCTGCTGAGGTGTCTGCTTTGATAATCCTGCTCTCTGTGAGCATGATTACCTATAAAACGTAAAGATTAACATTTGTTACAATTCATGCTCTCAGCAATCCATCTCTTGTCAAATGTCATTTCATGTGTTTACAATTACATGCTAATTTTTGTTGTGGCTGTATTTCTTTTGTGGTGTAGTGGGCTAAATCACTGAACTGGTATGCAGAAGGTTTCTGGTCGATCTCCGTAGCCGTCACCACAAGTGTGTCCTTGACCAAGGCTTTTTACTCCAGGTTTCTCTATGGTCATTGTCCCTGTAATAAATTCACTGTTAGTCACTTTGGATAAAAGCATCTGTCAAATGCATAAATGTAATTGATTTTTGTAAAGCCTTTTTTTTAATAGCCTTGGGCACAAAACGTTTAAAGCTGCTTATTTCTTCAAGGTACTACTATTAAACACAATGGATACGTAGATTTACTAAAATTTATATTTGGTGTGTTAAAGGATTAAAACTGTGTAGTGTTAGCGGCACATAAGTAAATAACTAATCATTGTGACAAAAGTGAATTAATGGAAAATAACTTTATAGAGCTGTCATAAAGCCAAAATAATCTCTTGTTACTTTAATTTCCTATTATCACTGTAAAGCAGCTTTGGAACAATCTACATTTTTAAAAGCGCTATAAGTCCTCCTGGGAAGTTCGTACGTACGAGGTGGGAAGTCGTGTTTACGACGTGAGGTGCGTTCAAGTCAGTTTCGTCGGAGCGAAATGGCGGTGTACCTACTTTTAATGAATTACACGAAAATACAGCAAGGTTTGTTAACTCTGCTAATAAAAAATGAAGAACAAAGAATGCGCGTCAGGTGTGTTTTTCTTTTTATGTTTTTTATTAGCTTATGAAGCCAATGTAAACTCTATCATTAGGTATAATTTTTTATATTACAATGAAATCATATTTTGTGCAGAGAGCTTGCTTTATAAATTAAAAAGCCTTACAATGTCAATGAGTAAACATTGAAATTCAATTAAAATTTACCGTCAACAGACGTTGAATGAACGTTTCTCACTGACACGCCCCCAACTCGTACAGATTGGGGCTTAAAGAAAATCCCGAGCTCCCCACTGGTATTTACGACATTGTGGTGGCGTTAAAGTGCGTTCAACTCGTAATTACGATCTATACGAGATGACTTGAACGCAGCATATTGCCAGGTACATCTCTGCAAAGGCAAGTTATATTCGCTTTCCTCTCCGGAAAGGGAGGCCAGGGAGATTTCCATTACACGAGATTAAGATGTTAAAACTTCTTGCTGATTTGTACTCTGCTTTCGCCAAGATAAGCACAAACTAAGATGTAGCTTTGCTTCTCCATCCATTTACGCTTCTTTCCATATGGTGATATGAATCTCCTTCTGTCCGGTGTTAATGGCTGCCGTATACCTGATGCGTCAGCACACACAACGGCTGCAACTACAGTGTGGTCTCCCTCAGTGGACCAGCACCACAACCGTCTGGATTGAGCCGAGTAGGGGACATATCTAGGGTCTTCAAGTGAGCACCTTCCGTCCTCAGTGTTTCGTCGACTAGCCCACGACACCTCAAGAGTGCTCGACAGTGACTCTGGCGTCCCAGATTTATCATAAATAGTGGTTATATTTATATATATTTATACGTCTTATTTATATTTTCTTGATATAATTTTTTTGCACTACATACATTTGCAATTTGTTTGCTCTGTTTACATTTTTTCTTTAATAAAATTTACTGACCAAATATGTGTAATTTCTTTTTTAACCTGTGTAAACCTTTTGCTGATAATTTACTCACCCCCATGTCCTCCAAAATGTCCATGTCTTTCTTTCTTCAGTCGAAAATAAATTAAGGTTTTTGATGAAAACATTCCAGGATTTTTCTTAAGACCCTTATTCATCGTCAGGTGTCGTTTAAAACCCTTTGTGTGACGATCACCAGTTGGAGTGCCCCAGAGAATCACCAGAGGGCACTCCACATCAGAACTGATCACTCCCACCAGAACTCCGTTTCCCATAATGCCTCATCCCTGTGACTGATTACACACACACCTGCACCTCATCAGACTCTCCATATAAGCCACACTCAAACATGAACTCTTTGCGAAGTATTACATTGCCACTGCCTGTAATTCTGAGTGTGTTATCCTGTTTCTTGTTTCTCTGGTTTTGATCTTGGACTGTTTTCTCATCTGTACGATTGTTATCTGCCTGGCCTGACTTGGATTGCCCTGGATTATTGTTTCTTGCTGCCTGCCCTGATCTTCTGCCTGTTACCTGACGACTCTCTGCGCTCACTCTCTGATATCCCTGTTTTGCTGTTTCCTGACCCCTGCCTGTTTGATGATTCTAAATAAAGCTGCACATGGATCCTATCTCGTCTTCCGTTTCGTAACACTTTGAAGCTGCACTGAAACTCTCACTTGGACCTTGAACCGTTTGATACCCACTGAAGTCCATTATATGGAGAAAAATCCTGGAATGTTTTCATCAAAAACCTTAATTTCTTTTTCGACTGAAGAAAAAAAGAAGAAAAACATGGACGTCTTGGACGAAATGGGGGTGAGTAAATTATCAGTAAAAATTTTTTTTTAAATCAACTACTTAAATATTTAATGAGCATGTTATAAATAATGATAAAAACCTGTTTAAAACCCCTTACCAGACCACTTCAATTTTGGCAAGTGGGACATATAATGACACCCAAAATAAAAAGGTTGCTGTTCATAAGTCATTCTGAATAGACGCATAACCATCATATAGTTAGAAAGCCAATCCTTTAGAGTTTAAAGACTCTGAATTAATTAGACTGTTATTAATATCAGAAATAAGTTATAATATAAACTCAAACATAAAAAGGATATGTATTAAATGTATACAAATTATGTGATTGTAGTATAACAACTTATAACCACAGTGTAGTTACAAGTAGGGTCATGCTTCATTTTAAATCTGAGGATATCTCTAAAAAACATAACACTCACTTTAAGCCACCATCGAGTATTTGTATTATATTCTGGTTGCATTTTAAAATAGTGTTATATCATAAAATGAATAGAAATGTTCTTCTGTATGACAAAATATTTTAAGAACATGTCAAACTTCTGTGATAAAATTTCTCCAAACATGCACACCATTGGACTGAGAGCCCTGGCGGATGTTATATATTGTATATCAGTGATTCTTGGAAATTTGGATAAAACAGGTTTTAATTTTGAAAATAAAAAGTTAGTTAAATTACAAAATCTGAAGGTATATCATTATAAAGCAAGGTCTTGGCTGTTCAGCAATGCACCGGTGCAACCTCCTCATTTTGTATTTTTTTCATAAAATAGGCGTTTCTCCAGTTATCACTTTGTTTTTGTCAACACCGTCAGACAAAATAAATAGCAAATTATTTTTTATTTGTTTGGTCTAATATGTATTTAGAGTTTTTAAATCATTATCTGGCATTCTTGGTACACATATATGCTGTTAAATGTTGAATATTCACTTTTGTTTATTTTTTATACTGTTTTGCGTGTACTCCTTTTTAAAGATATAACATCATACAACATTTACTTTAAGCCTAAATAGAAAAATTAATGTTGTTTTATTTAACAAACATATTTTTGTATTAAAAGAGACTATTACTTTAATAACTCAACAGCACTGAAGAATCATATTTCAAGTATATTCATTTAAAACCAATAAAACTCCCTCTGACGGTGGTGACTTTAGAACTGACGGTGGTGACATTAATCTGACGGTGGTGACTGTGGCCTCTTTACAACATAAAATTCCACAATGTATACCACTCAAGTCAATCAATTCTTGTTTAACAACTTCATTTAACTCTTTGGTCCAAAAAATAACAATCTTGAGCACTGTGATAAACATTTTTTTCCTTTTATGAGGTATTCCTCATTTAACTCTGCCTCACTGTGTATTTTCTCTCTCAGCTTTTTTTGGTATTCCCTGTTTCTTCTCCTTCTCTCCTCTATATAGCTGCTGCCTAGCCATAACTTTCTAAAATACATAAAGTCAAAGTTGAGTGTAATGACTATGAAATTGGGGGTAATTACAGCGAATGTTAGATTTGTTTAAATGATGTCATGCCATTTTCATTTGGCTTTAGTCATTGGAGATGCATAGCCTGGAATGGATAGTGCATACTATGTGCTGTGTAGGTAGGCAGTAGCTGCACTATGTGCATCCTTAGTTCTGGTTAGTTCTGGCAGGTCACGTTAGCTCGCATCAGCCGACTATTAGCTGATCCACCTCCCCCTATAGGAATATGACGCCTATCACTGTACACATATACAGTATAAGCTCCTTCAGTATTATCATCAGCTATCACGTTTCTCAGGAGCTCATTACCCTCCTCCCTCCCCAGCTCCACTCGTCAGTCAGGACTTGACATTCTGATTCCCCAAGAATCTGAATAAATTCTCGAATTATATTGTACTTTAAATTTTGAAATAATCTGCAAAACATTTATGTTGGTTCTGTTCTGTTTACCCCAAGGGGGTTATTGCTGCTCCTATCCATGCTAGGCTTTAACAAATTTTTAGTGTGGGCAAAAATCTAAATGAATGTCATGAAACACAATTTAATCGCATCAAACATGTTCAGATTAGAACTGCTGTATTCCTGCAGCTGAAGCACAGCCGTGAGGATATCAGGAAACATCCTCACTCTCACTCGCGCTAATAGTAGCATGCAGTGTAAGCCTGAATGGAAGAAATATAGGGGGAATTAAATAAATAAAAATATTAAAGAGGTGAATGGAACATTACAGGATAATATATTGGTATTTATTGTGATCAACAATTATATTCTAGCCTCTGTTATAGACCATTTGGGGGGTTTTGTCACCACCGTCACACGGTATGTCACCACCGTCAGATAGAAAACCTGACGGTGGTGACGTCTGACGGTGGTGACAAAACCTACTCTTTCACATGATATGCATGAGTTGTTCACATTATAGCCATCTTGTTTCCCCTCTGTTGCTAGCTACTTCAGACCTCTTCTTAAAAAGTATACAATTATGTCATAATCTAATCTAATATTTTCTATACAAAAGAGACGGTGTTGACATGTTATGGTTGTGACAGTAGCAGTGCCCAAATATATGAACAAGTTTAAGAGAAAATAGCAAAATTACGAGAGCTTGAGTGATCTTGAAGCATGCTGTAAAGCTGAAGGTTTGAAAATGGGGTATGGAGGAATGTAGTTGACCTTGTAGTTGCCTGATTTTATTGCTTTTTATAAATATCTGACGGTGGTGACGAATATGTGGGACACATTTTGAACAACCACAAAAAAATAGTAAATATTGTTCAAAACTCAATGTTTGTAGTTTTTAATACATATTACAATGTACTCTTTTGTGTGGTAAATATATTATTCAATTCAATTATTCCTTTTTGTTTTTTTAATCAAGTTGAAATGATTATCTCCTATCCGAGGACAGCTGATTTTGTAGGCAATGGGCCAGCATATAATCATTAAAATAATAAAAATGAAAAATAAACCTATAAAAGAACCCTGCATATGTGCAAAGGACCCCCTGATTATAAACTTGATTCTTTTCATTCATGAAAATGTTATTAATTTCCAACAGAATTAGCACTTTTTTAGTGGGACATGTTTTTGCCAAAGTTTCAAGAATCAGTGATATGTGAACACAAATAAACCTGCATTATGAGTGATGATTAATATTCAATATATCAAACATTACAAATGTTCCACTCCTGGCATAAATAAAATGTCATTGCAAACCAGATTTATCATAAAGAGGAGTGAATGTTGAACAACTATAATCT